AGCTAGCAGGAGGACCCCAGTCTGACTCCCAGTCTCCCATTTTCCCGCTAACCTGGAGTGTAATAGTGCCCCCCACCCACAGCTGTTTGTATTGCCAAGAGGCCACCTGATCTCCCAACTCAACAGCCGCCTGAATCACCCCTTGGTGGCATCTAGGATGAGGCCAGAGAACCTGGAGCTGTGTCCCTCAGCCATTCTACTAGTGTCCGCCCGGCAATGGCCCAAGAACCAGTTTTCCTATGGGAGCCACCTAGGGGAAGGTGCTTGAGCTTCCAGGAAGAACCAAGAACCCCTAGAGTGACGCTCAGGTTCTTTCAGGTGCAGTGGGGCTCAGAATGACCCCACCTTGGGACAGTCTGTAGTGGCCCATCCATTCAGATGAATCCTTTCTCTCTTTACTTGCCTCCTTTCTTTAAGAGACTTCTGGGTCATTGTTCTTTTGCTGGCCTCAGGAGAGGGGAGGCTGCTCTCTGCAGCCTCAGTTTCTAAACCTGTCTCTGAGGGGAGCAGTGAGAGATGGCCTCTAATGCCTGAATGGCCAGATCTGCCCTTTAGTCCCTTGGGGACACTCCACACCTCTCCAACAACCCTAATCAGCCCTGATGTCTCTAGGGCTGGATGTGGCAAAACTTGCAAAACCACATTCATGGCAGTTTGTGGAGTCCCGTGTCTACATGCAGGGCTCCCTCCCTGTCTGAGCTGGGCAGGCAGGTGTCCTGTGGGAACTGGGCCCTGTGTGCAGGCTGCTCAGCTTATCCCTTTGTGCCTAGCACCCAGGCTGCATCCCTCAGATAGCACAGGGTGGACTGAAAATGTAGTTCTGAAGATTGCAGTGTCTGGAGAAGAGGGGCAGGAACATCCTGCAGACTATAGGGGCTGAGGGATAGAAGTCCTGTGCCCTTGGCTCCCTGAGTCTGTTCCACTATCTGTAAAATGGGGGACACTAGGTAAGTCAGTGGGCTGAGAACCTCCAATCTCAAGTCTCTGGCCAGGAGTGAGGGCTCCTCGTAGTTAGCCCATCCTCTCCATGCCTGCCTCTCACCTGGCTGATGGCATACAACAGGACCAGGCAGTGTTTCTGGGTCACATTCTTGATTCAAGTGCTAATGGGGGCAGAGGCTGCAGGGGGAGGGGTCTCTGTTTAGCTAGGCAGATGTTTCTCAATGGAGGACTCACACTGTGGCCTTTGGAGGACAGAGTTGGCTATGTCCCCTGGGCTGGGGGGAGCAGCCACTGCTGCTAGAGGGTCTTGGCACCAGGGGAGGTGCTTAGAGACCAGCTCCCATGCCTGAGCTCCTACCTACTCTGGGTTTGGGAACCCAGAGTAGGATGTCTCCAGCAAGAAATTCTTAGAATAATTTAAATTTTCTTAAAAAAGAAGCAGCAGCAGCCCCTGAGAGCAAGCCCTGGGAGCAAGGCTGGGTTTCTGGGTCTGTTGGGCAGAGGAAGGGCCAGGAAGTCAAGCTGGCATTGGGCAGCTTAGGCTGGGTGGCAGTGGCTCCAGGGCCCAGCTTGGGACATAGCAGGGCTCCTAGGATCCCTCACATGTTTGACAGGCCCCCACACCCAGCACAGCAAGAGCAGTGCCTTGGTTTCCCACAGGATCCTGAGGCAGAACACTTCACCGGACCTCCAGAGGAGCTGAGCTGGTCCCTGTAAGGGTTGCTTCCACCTCCTTTGCCACTGCCCTCCTCATCCAGTCCCAAAGACTGCCTGGAGCCTCAGGCCTGGGCCCAAACCGCACCTCTGCTTTTTGCCAATCAAATCACCCTGAATGGGTCACTTCATCCTCAGTTTCCTTTTCTATAAAATGGTCGATTCCAGTCTCAGTCTCTGGAGTTGATACGTGCCCCATTTTGATGGACCCATACTCTGAGGGGCCGTGTGTGGTGTGATAACCGTGTGGAGTACCACAGGTGGCCTGGGAGTGCATTTGTCTTGGGAGCTATCTCAGTCCCTTGGTGGGTTCACCTACTGGCCACCTTGAGGACATTTCTTAGGAGGCACAAGTGAAAGTGTAAAACACATGCTCCTATCAAGTTCCAGTGATCTTAGGTAGTCATACTGCAGGAGGGGAACCTGGGTACCAGCTAGTCCAGTCTCTTGCGATACAGATGGAGCAGCTGAGGCCCAGATAGGGGCAGGGCCACATGGTCAGCCAGAGGTGGAGCTGGGCCAAGAAGCAGATCTCCACCCTCCAGGGTCCAACACCTTCCTGGAGATTCCCTAGTTCTCACATGAGAAAATGGGCTCAGAGAAAAGTAGAGACTTACCGCCCTAAAGGTGGTGACAGAGCCAGGCTAGGATCTCCTGAATCAGAGACAGGGGCTAGTTAGGGTCATGTAGCCTTTCCTCTGGAGACAAGGCAAAGCCCAGGGACAGTGTCAGGAATGTGTGTGGGGGGAGGTGCTCTGCAAGCGGGAAGCACTTGGCATGGGTAGGCATTGTTGCTAGAGTGTACACTGCTCACCTGACCTGCCCTGGGTTCCATGGCACCTTGGGCAGTGGAAGGATTGAGTGGTAACAGGTGCACTGCTGGTCCTTAGCCATTTCAACTGACCCTGTCCTAATAGAAGGTCAGGCCAGGATCACACAAAGCCCCAGAGGACCCTGGAACAGGAACAGCCATGGGGCTGGGCAGGGTCCTAGAGGATAAGCACAGCCTTTTCTTCCTGCAGACAGCCCTCAGCGCCTTTTTCCAAGAGACCAACATACCCTACAGCCACCACCATCACCAGATGGTAAGTGTCCCCTGGAGACCCAAAGGTGGCCAGGCTGGGGATTCTCAGTCCTGCGCAGGGAAGGAGGAGGCTGAGCCCGTTGAGTATATGAGCATCCCACAGGGGCATGCAGTGGAGGAGGGCTGTGCACAGGGCTCTGGGCAGCCTGGGTTCAGTGGGACCTGGGGCACGCCAGCCCTTGGAGGTTGGTGCTACTCACCCTGCAGCCTCCCAGGGATGCCAAGCCAATCAAGGGTGCTGGGCAAGCTTCATGACCCCTGAGCCAGCAGGCACCATGCCTGGTGGTATGGATCTACTGCACAGCCCTGTCCATGGGGTGGATCAGGTCGGGGTGCTGCACCTGGGAAGGGACACAGGAACTTCCTGACAGGAGCTGGGCCCTCATTTCTCCCTCTCTCCTTTCTTCCCCCACAGATGTGCACTCCTGCCAACACCCCTGCCACACCCCCCAACTTCCCTGACGCCCTCACCATGTTCTCCCGTCTCAAGGCTTCTGAGAGCTTCCACGGAGGCAGCAGCGGGAGCCCAATGGCCACGACAGCCACCTCGCCCCCACCACACCTCCCCCATGCTGCCACGGGCAGCTTTGCAGCACCCAGCTGGCCGACTGCAGCCTCACCCCCCGGAGGCTCACAGCACCACCAGCCACAGCCACCCCTGTGGACTCCGGCACCCCCTTCCCCGCCGTCAGACTGGCCACCCCTGGCCCCCCAACAGGCTGCCTCAGAACCCAGGGCCCACCCTGCCATGGAGGCAGAGAGATAAGGGAGGCCCCTCCCCCCTCCCGGAGGCCAGGACCCCGTGGGGCGGGGGAGAGGACGTCTCCGTGGGCCCCCTTGACCCCTTCTCTGTCTGCGCCCCTGTGCCCCAGAGCCCTGGAGGGGGTGACGGGACTCTAGCCAGGCGGGTGTGTGTCGTGCCAGCATGCACAGCTGCACTCGTGCGAGTTCACGGAGCACAGGCACACAGCCCCCAGCTCGCATGGACTTGGCTCAAGAGTGGCTTAGGCGCCTGACGGACGGCACCTTGGAGACCAACAAGCCTTCCCATGAGGACTCACCCACCCTCCCCTGACCCAGCCCAGGGGTGCTCCAGGCAGTCACCCAGCGGAGACATGGCCAGCTCCTGACTTGGCTCTCCGCGGGGCTGGCAGGCCTAGGTCCCTACACTTGGGAATGCAGAGCCTTCTCCGCATGTGCGTGTGTAGCTGTGTCTGTATTTATACGTTTGTCACTCTTTAAAAAGCAACCTAGATTACGGGGCAGCTGGACTTTGCATGTTAGAGTGAGCCCCAAGCCCCTTGCCCACCACCCTTCCCCTCAGGGCCTTGCCTCTCACCCCAACCCCTTGTCAGCCAGCATTGCTCTTTCCTGCAGAGAAAAGGATTATGGGAAACTCCAGGACTCCTCCCACTATCCCCAGCGCCTGCCTGCTGGGGCTGCCTGCATGCCTCCCCCAGAGCCCAGGGGTACCTGATTCCTATCTCCTTTCCCCCTTTTAACAGAAGAGAAGAAAATTCCAAACCACCCCAGGCTTTGTGGTCTTGCCTTGTGCCCTAGGCTTTGCTGCCAGCTTGCTCTGGGTAAGAATGCCTAGCAGTGTCCAGGCCACTCCAGTCTCACCCAGCTCCACAGTGCTGCCTATCACTGTCTTCGTTCACAACCTGTCCTGGAATCTTCCTACCCACCCAAGGCTTTTCCCATGAAGTTAGTTTTCTGGCTTGCGATTCCAGAATACCACCCCTCTTCCTGCTTAGGACAGATCTCAACCCCCAGTTTTGAGTGAGCAGGACTAATGACTGCTTCCCTCTTCCTGGGCTTCACATAGGACTTTTCTTGGATCCTCTGAGTTCAGCCTTACAGCACAGCTAGTGGGGCAGCCCACTGGCCCCAGTCCACCTGGGAAACCTGGTTATGGAGGAGGGAAGGGGAGTCCACTCTGCAGTTTTTCTACTCTGGGATGGAAGAAATTCTCAGACTCCCACAAGTGGTAGGGAAATGCTTTGCAGAGTTAGTTTGTGTTTTGGATTATCTGCCATGTGGGTAAGGGCATGGGCCCTTCCCAGAGGCAGACTGCTGGGTGGCTCTAAGAGTCAGCTCTGCACAAAATAGCACACAGTCTAGATTCTGCACAGTGGGATGCTGGGTAGCATTTTTAAAAAGTAACCAATGGCCCCTAGGGGACCAAAGTGGGCCCAGATTAACAGCATCACTCAGTCCCCAGCTCAGAGCCTCTGGTACCAAAAGCAACACCAAAGTGTCATGCCCTACATATCTTTACTAAATGCTGGAGTTTGGGGTGTCATTCGGAACCCATGTCTGCCCTTGGGGCTACTGTGGGCTGGGCCTGGAGGTCTCAGGTAGTCATTTTGAAGGCAGAAGGAACTTGGAAGCTCCTGTAGATCCTGGCCTTTCCAACGCTGGCATTGTTGACATCGGGAACTGGACTGCTGTCCCCTGTAGTATGGGTGTCCTCTACATCGAGATATCAAGTAGCATCCCAGAAGCCTACCCTAGAAACAGTAGCACCACCATTTGTGACAATCAAAAATATCTACTGATATCTGCTTTGGGAGAAGTCACCCCAGTGGAGGGCTCCTATCTAATCCTGCGGTTTGCATACCTGGCTGCCCTTCTATATCAGAATTTGGGGAGAAGACCCCCAGTGGATACCTGTGATCCATCTGCCTAAACTAATGCCACTCACTTTACACTTCAAAAAAGTGAGCTTTATGGTGTGCCAGTTATGCCAGCAAAGCTGTTACTAAAAATAAAAGCACTCCTAGAGGATTCTGATGCAGCTGCCCCTCACGTGGTACAGCCACCAGCTCCTGCTTCCCAAACCTGCAGACCAAGAAGGCCCCTGAGTGCTTGTCAGTCATGCTTGAGGCAGCTGCTTCAGAGGAGAGGCCTAGACTGACAGTTAAGTGTCCTAGGAAAGAAGGGGTCTTTGAGCAGAGTAGGCTGGAACAGGGCCTGGGAGTGTTTCCCAATGGATGCCAAAGCTGTGTCGGGTATACTTTCAGGCCCTGGCCTGAGCATCCTGTAGACAAGGGAGGGGCTGCAAGAGTGGTCCAGGACTAGCAGGGTGGCCCACAAAGACACCACATGCCTCACAACTCGAGTGTGACAACATGGGACCTTCTGCAGCTTAATTCAAACCTGAAGCTGAAAAGCAAAACAGACCAGCAACGACACATGTTCAAAAGGAAGATGGCTAAAAAGCTAAGGAGCTGAAGTTTCAGGACAGACTCCAAATTCTAGGCCTCCCTCAGCTGTGCTTCATAACAGCACTGGGAGCTTCCTGGACAGCAGGAAAATCGCCTTGTTACTTAGAAGGCCAGTGCATCTGAGCTGATCATGCCCTGTTCGCCACTGGGCTGGTGCTCCAAACGACTTACGACTGTCTCCAAAATTCCACTCTAAATGTACGCTACTGTGCTGGGTGTGGTGGTGCAATCCCAGAGCCTCTGGAGGCTGAGGTAAGAGGATCACAAGTTCGAGGGCAGCCTTAGCAACTTAGCAAGACCCATCTCAAAAAATAAAAAGGGCTGGGGATGTAACTCAGTGGTAAAGAGCCTCTGGGTTCAATCCCTGGTACCAAAAAATTAAGAAATAAATCAAAACCATCGTTGCTATCCATGAGTCTGCTCAAAAACAATGTGCTTCAGGCTCTTCATGCCTTGATTCCCAGAGAGGAAGGGCAGCACGTGGGAACCAAAGCCTACACGCGGGTGATGAGCAGTGGCTGCGGCCTTCAGGTCTGCTTTGGGCAAGGGCACATCTCAGGGCTCACAAACCCTCAGCCCTGCCAGGTGCCGGTGTGGCCTGTGCAGTACTGCACACGTTGCAAGGCATTTGCCAACTTTTTAAATTGTGATAAGCCTGCCTTTTGACGTATCCTGGAAAACTGGAATGTATGGCCCAAATTCCCTCAAGGCCACAAGTGGCTGGTATTGACCACACGCTGGGACACAGCCTGGCCCACCTCTGCTGGCCAGCCCTGTACTGCCTTGGAATCTGCTGGACTCAACAGGAGCTTGCTTTTCACCATGAGCAGCTGCAGAAATAAACATCCCTGCTCCATGGGGAGGGCCTGGCAGATGAGCAAGACACTGAGCTGTCTTCTGCTGTGGGCAGGCTCCTCCTCTGACAGCTTCAAAGACAGAAGGGCTTCTTGTGCTGCGAGAGTCCTGGACACCTGGCCACACCCAGGTCTGCTGGGTGTCCCCAGGGTCTCTCCAGTGGCCCCACCAGGGCTGTCTGAGAACACACAGCAGCCAGCCCATAGAACCACAATGTCCCACTGACTCCCGCCCTGCAGGGCTCAGAGGGGCTCTGCCCAGCATCGCACCCCAGCCAAGGACAGATGAGTCCTTTGACTTGGATCTATCTCCCTGGGTGGGAGGCCGCTGGGCTTGGCCAAGATGGCATCTTCGTGCAAGGCTGTTTGTAACTCCTGCGGTTGGAAAGGGGTTCTCTCTGGGGTGGTAGCCACAGCTTATACTTGGGGAATATGTATATTTCAAATGAGCCTTAAAAGAACTCAGCTGTTTTGGGGTAGGTAAGGCCGAGTTCTGGGGAGGACAGTCCTGGCTCTCCTTTTTGCCAAGGCCTTGTCAGTGGCACATCACGTGGCACCCGGCGCCTGTGGGTAAAATCCTGCTCTGCCCTTAGGAGCCATTTCTGAGTTGGGGCCACAGCTCCCCTAGCTGCAGTGGAGAAGGATGAGAGCTGAGCCCCCCACTGCCCTGACAGTACCCAGCAGGTGTGGCCTCTTGGGCAAGGGCCAGAGAGTTAGGGCCTCATCCTATGAGCCTGGGCCTGTTGAGACCCTTGGTCTGCCCCCATACAGCTGAGGCAGCTCAGAGCACGTGGTCACTGTGGTAATTTGGCAAAGGATGAAGGTTTGTTTCGAGTCTCTGCTGACACTCAGCCTGGGTGGCTGTGGGCAAGGGTGCTGGGAGGCTGAGCCCCGGTGGCCACTAGAGAAGGGACCAGCAAGTCCCACCCATGGAGAGAAGGCAAGGCCACTCTGCAGAGAGCACCCAGCCAGTCCCCTCATCTACGGTCAGAAAAATGGAAGATTTTATTCTGGGAAGAAGTTGCCAAAATACTCATCTGTGACATGGAGGTGGGGCTGGGACTGTGCGAACCAGTGGCCCCCGAAGTGGCTTGGAGAGGTGAGTCACTGGGGTTCGGCGGAGCTTGGCCTCATTTGAACACAGTCCTTGGAAAAAGAAACAACCAGTCAGGCCAGGGGTGGTCTCAGGTGAGTAGCTGGTGAGGGGAATGGGGACCAGTAGGAATGGTCAGGCATGCTGAGTCCCCAGGCACTGATGGCCTCCCAGGCCAGGGGCTCCCCCTCCACACCACTCCCTCGCAGATCCTGGAGCCCAGCCCTTGGTCCTCCCCAGGACCCTCCCCTCTCCAGCTCACTGCTGGACAGTTCTCCCCGCCAGCCCCCAGGTCCAAGATTCTAGTGAACATTGGAGTGGGGCTGAGATCTCGCCCCAAACCTGTATAGAGTTGTTTTCATCACTGAAATGGAACAGAGCAGTCAGCAGAAGCAACAGGAAGGAGGAAAAACAGCAGAGGCGTGAAAAAGGCAAGGGAGAGCAAGACAGGAGAGGGGAAGGGAGGGACGGGAACCTCCAAAAGGAGCAGGCCAGGTGGAGCCCGGGGCAGGGGGCAGGGGGTGATCCCTGGCTCTGTGTTCTGAGGCTGGTCTCTAAATTGCCAGTGAGAGCTTGTGACCTCCTGGTTTGCTTTTCCCACCAGATGCATGGTCTGTGAGCAAGGGAAGCTGCTAGACTCAAAACAGGCCTGTGGTGCTCGGCCCGGAAGGGATGGTGCAATCCTGGAATACCCTAGGAGCGTTGCACCCATTTCCTCGTGGATCAGCTAAGAAGTAAAGAGAAACAATCCAATTCATGACAGCAGTTACCAACATGAAAGAAAAAGATGCACACGGTCAAATTTGGTTCCCATGGGAAACTGGACTTAGTAAAAATAATGGCCCCCAAGCAAGGTGGGCAAAGGCAGGAGCTGTCGTGGGAACTGCTTCTGATGGCATCCTTCAGAAGAATAAAAAGGCAAGGGATCAGGGGCCAGGGTTGTGGCTCAGTGGCAGAGCACTTGCTAGCATGTGTGAGGCACTGGGTTCGATCCTCGGCACTGCATAAAAATAGAAATAAATTTTTAAAAAAGGCTTTATTAAAAAAAAAGAAGAAGAAAGAATTTTTTTTAAAAAAAAGGAAAGGGATTATTTTAAAACCATTTTAACTGTTGTATTCAAAATTGGTCAGGGAATTCAAGTGGCTTAGTGACAAATTCACTTGAAAGCCATGTTTTTTGTGAAGCGATACAAAGGCTGTGTTGGAGAAGAAGTTTGGGTTGTTTGTATTTATATGTAGAGTTAAAATAGTTACTTAATCAACATGGGGGGTCCCCTGTGCAGACCTGTTTGGTTTGCCCAGGGGATGTTTCCTGGACCAGCTCCAGGGCCCCGGATCTCACCCGGGGGAGTAGATGGGACCTGAGACTTGTGGGGACACAGGAAGGGTAGGGGCTCACGGGTTGACAGGCTCCTCCATAGGCTGCTTGTTGGTTCGGGACTCAGGGCGCAGAGACCTCAAGTGTCTGGTAGGCTCTGGGGCCTGCTGGGGGTTCCGCAGAGGGGGGAACAGCGGCGGCAGCAGTGGCAGAGGTGGCAGGGATGGCGGTTGAGCCAGCGTCACGGAGGGAGAGCCAGGGGTGGCTGAGCAGGCTCCAGGGCGGGGACCCAAGGCTGCAGGGAGCAGGATAAAACCCAAGAAATTCCTGGGAGCAACTGGCCTGAAGGGGTCCACCCCACTGGAGGGAAGAGCAGCCGAGTCTGGAGGTGCTCTGTGGGCCATGTCAGGACTGGTTACTGTGGCCTCCCCTGGCCCTGGGCACCTAAACTTCCCAGGTGAAGTGACAAAAGATACAGGACTCTGGAAATGGGCACTAGAGTAGGGCAGAGCTCCCAGGAGGACACGGAGCTTGGTGTCTGGGGGTTGGGCTCAGGTCGCTGAGGTTCAGCTCCCTCCTCTTGAAATGGACTAATAGAGCAGGACGTGGCCGTGAGCTGTCCTGGGACTGCAGTGTGTGCCACTGTCGGATCTTTCCATGTCCCTGCTCAGCAGCCAGGCACTGTGTTGCATGGCCATACTTCCAGCAACATGGGAGGCTGAGGCAGGAGGATCACAAGTTTGAAGCCAGCTTGGGCAATTTAGTAAGACCCAGTACCCAAAAAATAAAGACCACCAGGACCACCCCTCTGAGCTGGGTAAGAACTAGATGAGACAAGAAGGGAGAAAGAGCTTCATAAGCTGTCAATGCCCCTCGGCTGCTGATACACGGTGACACCAGTCAGGGGAGCACAGGGCTCAGCTCCTCCCAACCTGGCTCCTGGGCTGCAGTCCAACAGGCCCAGGGCAGTAAGTGGGCTCCTGTGTCCCACCCCTGCAGCCAGTGGACGCCTGGGGACGGACACCTGGCCTAGGCTTCTGTGATGATGCCCAGGGCCTACAAGCTCCCCTGAGGATGGAGCAGGAGCCCAGGACAGCTGCAGGCACATTTCCCTGGCCAGGGAGCAAAGTGCTGGGTGGGGGCTGCTACAGGGGTCTTCCTGGGGCCCAGGTGTGGGTGAGCAGGCTGCCTGAACCTTGACAGAGCAGGTGAGAGATGGATGAGGTGGGACAGAGCAAGCCTTGGGGCTGGGGTGAGGGTAACGGGCAGTGAGTGGAGGGACCCGAGACCCGGCAGAACCTCAGGTGGGATGGGAGGGTTGGGGGAGGTACTCACGGGGGCAGATGGTACCAAATAAGTCACTGGAGCGCACAGGAGCATACAGGTTTCTAGCTGGGGGACAAGGAACCTTGACAGCTGAGAAGAAAGGACCAGAACAGGTAGGCGTCTTCCAGAGCTCTGGCCTCGCATCAGGCTCAACCTAACCCAGCCCTGCCTCCCCGGCTCCTCCAACCCTCCTGTCCCCATGGGTGAATGTCCTTCCCTCTCTGCTTAAGTCCAGATCCTCCCAAGGCTAAGACCAGGACAGCAGACATCCCAAAGGCTTCTCCAAGCCAGGGGACATGACAATTAGTAAAAGCAATTGACCTGGTGCAGACAAGGACTGCATGAGGTAGGCGTCTGGCAGTTCTGTTTTACACACATGCATGATAAATGTGTGCTAGACTGTGCCTTAAAAAAAAAAAAAAAAAAAAAAAAAAGCATGTGCACACCTTTTTTTTTTTTTTAAGGCACAGTCTTGCTAGGTCTCCCAGGCTGGTCTCCAATCCCTGAGCTCAAGTGATCCTCCTGCCTCAGCCTCTCAAGTAGCTGGGACTATGGATGTGTGCCACTGTCAGTTCTTTAGGTATTCCTGCTGGGCAGCCATGCACTAGAGTGCATGGCTGTAATTAGAGCAACTTGGGAGGCTAAGGCCGGAGGATCCCAAGTTTGAGAAAAGTCTCAGCAACTTAGCAAAACTCTCAAAATAAAAAAAATAAAAAGAGCTAGGATGTAGCTCCATGGTGGAGAATTTGTCTAGCATGCCCGAGGCCCTGGATTCAACCCCAGTACAATAACAGCTAAAAATTTCCTGCTGGGGACAGACCCCATAAAGTCCCCACCCCCATCTTGCCCCCCACTTTTTTTTTTTTTTAGGTAATTTCACACAATATAAAATTATCCCTTTAAAGCGCCCAGTGCGGTGGCATGGAATACATTCACAGCTGCACGGCGCCACCGCTATCCAGTTCCAAGACACTTTCATCACCCCAAAAGCATCCTGCACGCCATTAAGCAGTCACTCCCCACTGCCACACCAGCTCCTGCAACCACTGTTTTCATTTTCTCCATGAATTTGCTTCTTCCAGACATTTCATGAAAATGGAGCCATAAAACATGTGCCTGCTCCTGTCCAGCCACGAATCACCGTGACTGACTGGCCACCATCCTAATCCCTTCTGTGGAAAGGGGACTGTATTGAGCAGGAGTTTGAGGTGGGGAAATTATCCCAGGTTATCCAGGTGGGCCCTGAGTGCAATCATGGGGTCCAGGGCGAAGGAGTTGGAGGTATGATAGCAGGCGCGGAGGCCAGTGTGGTGTGCTCTGAGGACAGAGAAGGTGGGGCCTCTACCTGGGAAAGGTGAGGAGTGGTTTCGCCCCTGGAGCCTGCAGATCTCGGACTTCCAACCTCCAGAACTAAGACAATGAATCTGTGACGGCACCCACAGAGGAGCCCGAGCCCACACGCTTTAGGAGAGTCAACTGGCCGTGACAAGGCTTCAACTGGCGGGGGTCGTCTCCCACAGAACACTCCTCTGTCTCTGTAGCCCTGATCCTTCCACCTGGAGCCCCTTCTGACCACCTCCTGCTGCCTTCCTTCTGCGCTCAGTCTGCTTCTGTGGACACTCTCTCAAGGCCCCACCTGCGGAGCAGGCCTTGCACACCTGTCTACCAACTGCGGGGCACGCCCTGAGGATCGGATGTCTCTGCACAGGCCTAGACTGAGGACTGCAGCATCACAATCAGAAAGGCCATGGGCTGGCCTTTGGAGGCCTGGGGGGCGGGGCAGATGAAGGGCTGGCTGCGTAGTGGGTCCTGATGGTGGATGGGTGAAGTCTTCCGGAGCTGGGTGGCTCAGCCTGGCTAGTTTTAGGTTGGAATATGGTGTCTGTTTTGGATGACAACGTTCTTCTGTGTGAGCACATGAGTGGATCTACGTGCTGCCACAGACAGGCTTCTAGAGGACTCTCACACTAGTTTGGCTTCATCACCCAAGTGAGGCGAAATATTGGAGCCATCCAAGTTCAAAGTCTGTGTGCATTGTGGGTCTTGGGAATGAACCATCAAGCAGGGAGAAGCCCCTCAGCTCCCTCTTCAGGGGTGACAGCCTTGGGGAAGGTAGATGGGGTTGAGGACAGGACCAGAGATTCCTTCTGTCCCAGCCCCTCCACTGAGGCTGCCCTCCCAGCAAGTGGACCTCCCCTGTGTGTAGATGAGATGCCTCACCAGGTTGCTGCGGGCAGGGGCAGGTGGGGAGGGCCCGGCTTATTAGCCACTTACGAAACCCTCAAGTCACCCTGCTTGGTGACCCCTGAAGCCCAGCCCAGCCCCTCCCATCAGAGCTGCAGTGCCTGGAGCAGCCACATCCTGTCTGGGGAGAGGACAAAGGAGGTGGTGACCTGCCCTCCTGGAAACAGGGTGTGGCCTGGAATGGTTGCCTGGTGGTCCCCAATAAGTATGTCCCCTGGAACCCAGGTACGTAAGCGTATTGGAGACAGGATCTCTGCAGGCTTAATGAAGGATCCTGCAGTGAGATCATCCTGGGTCACATGGAGCCCTAAATCCAAAGGCAAGTGTCCTAAGGAAGAAGAGGAGAGCCAGGGAGGACGCAAAGAAGAGGCTGACGCTGGAGTGAGGCAGCCATTCCCAGGAGACCGCAGAGCCCTGAACCGGTGCCTCTGGAGGAGCAGAGCCCGCTCCCACTCGACTTAGGGCTTGTGGCCTCCAGGACTGCGAGAATAAATGTCCACTCCTTTGAGGCACCCAGCGCTGGGAGCTGCCGCTTCCCTTCCTGGGTCTGGGGTTGAGCTCTCTACTCCACAGGGAAGTCTGGGAGGAGGAACGTCCATGGGTAGAGTATGGACTTAACCCTGCCCGGCCCATGGGCTGTGTGTGGCTTCTACCAAGGAGCAAATTCAGAACTCTCTTCCCAGAGGGAAAATGCCCCAAAGGGGTGTGCAGAGAATGCTCCCCTCAGTATTAGAGCCAAGGTGGCCCAGTGGGAGAGGCTGGAACTCCAGCTCTCATGCTGCAAGGGCCACAGCAACCAGGGGCAAGTGCCCGTGGGTCTGGGGATCCTCCTGGTCTGACCCCTGCCTTTGAGATTAGGACACAGGCCTCCAGGGGCTGGACCTGCTCATTCCACTACCCCACCTTTGTCTCTGCACTCCAGTCTGGACCACTCTTCCCAGTTCCTGCCTGTGCTTGGCTTCTAACCACCAAATAGCTACTGAACCTGGTATTCCCTCCACCTGGACTGCTCTCCTCCCTCCCCACTCCCTCACCAAGTAATGCTTTTCTCCCCTTCAGAGGTGTCAGGGCAGCTGCCCAATCCTTCGCCATCAACCAGGGTCCCTTAGCACAACTCTCCCATCACCAGTGTCTCCCTTCAGGTCAGTTTTATCTGTTTGTAACCATGGATTCTTGCCTTCCAGATATTTACTGAGGTCTGTCCCCTGCATGAGTCACCTCTTGCGCCCCACTGTTTCCCAGCATACACTGGGGACCCCATTTTTGCAAGTGACTATTATGCTTCCCAGCTAGGGATGGCGGCAGCCCTGAGCCCCACTGCCTCCCCTCAGCTACCTGGCACAGGGAGACCTGGGCAGGGGTATGCGGAGGGAGGACCCGACGCCTCTCACCTGCCAACTCCTTCTCTGCCGTGGTCAAGGGTTGCGCCCCAAACTGAGTATTCATTCGGCCTTTGTACAGAATCCCGTCCACTCCCAGGATGTCCACCTCGGCCTGTGGGAGGGTCCGCGTCACTGGTCAAGGCCTCCACCTTGCTACCCTCCCGATGCATGTAGAGGTCCTGAAGTCAGAGCACAGCCTCCCAGAGATGCCCGTGGCCTGGGGTCCAGCCCATGCCTGGGCCTGGACACCCTGACGGCCAGACTCACAGTGTCGTAGTTTAACACTTGGGGGTCCCCATAGGGGTAGAGTGTTGACAGTTCCCCTGGCTTGAACTTGAGGGTGGTGTCATTTTGGAGGCTGTCACCCCAGTCCTGCTGAGCGCCCAGAGTGTGCAGGCCGTCCTCTTGCAGCTGCAGCCGCTGCTGTTCCCTGTGCAGGGCAGAGAGTCATCAGCCCCTGGAGACCCTCTGCTCCTGGGCCTGGCCGTGTCAAGGGTGTGATGGCACAGCAGGCAGGCCTGGGGCCTGGCAGGCAGTGCAGACACGCACAGCTGGGAGGGGATAAACCAGCCCCCGCATCCCCAGGGCCAAGCGCTCCTGGAGCCTGGCCCGGTTTGACAAGGCACATACTCTTGATCTGCAGCTTCAGAGAGTGAAGCACAGGAGGCCAGGGAACCAGATCAGGCCCTCAAGTCCCTCCTCCAGGTGTCATTCCCACAGGGCTGGGTGCCTCTAGGGCCTCCAGAGCCTAGGATGTCCAGGGGTGGGGGGAGGTGAGACCAGGGGGCCAGCCGGTCTGTGTCAGCTCTGCCACTTACTAGCCAACACCTTGGCAGTCACATAAGCTCTTTGCTGGTTTCCCCAACTGTGAAATGGGATGACCAGGGAGTACACCTCAGAGGCAGGCTGGGAGGGCTCAACAGGCCAGGTGGGCCACAGGGGGGCTCCTGGAGGGTCCTGATCACTGCTCTCCACCAGGAACAGGCATGTCCACCGGCTCGCGAGGGGTTGTGAGATTTAAGGAGATACCCGCCCTCCGCCGCCATTTAGAAGCACCTAACAGTTCTGATAGAACAACATTGGCTCCTGTCCTCTGCCCAAGCCACCTCCAATCACAGAGGGTTAGCAACACCCTGGGTGTCGGCCTTTGGTCCTGGCGCTGGTGGATATGTCTTGGCAGGAGTAGGGGTGGCAGACCTGCCCAGGGCCGCCCCGCAGCCTCACCTCATCATTTGGCGCTGTAGGTATTCGTAGCTGTTGGCACTGGCGGGCCGCAGCTTTGACAGCAGGCGGGCTTTGCGTATGGTGATGAGCTGCCTGTGGAGGACAAAAGCGTGCTGGTGGCTGCAGGCTCCCACCTCCTCCAGGAAAAGGAAGGAGGTGCAGTCCTGGACACGCCCACCCTCAGGGCCACCGTGCATGGGCTCTGAGGAACCCTGACAATCAGAAGACACAAACACATGAACAACAATCATGCTGGTCCTGGCACTGGAGAGGGCCTGGGCTCCACCCCTGTTCTGGTCACTAAAGTAAAAGCCAGACGAGGAAATACTCAGGCTGCAGATGGAGGCTTCCGGCAGCTGGGCAGGGATGGGAAGGAGACACAGTTCCACGGTGCAGGGTGGGCACTGCACAGCCTTGAAGCATACCACATGCCATTTGACCCTTCCCTCACCGTGGTGAGATTTATGCCCTGGGTGTTGCCTCAATAAGGAAATAAAAATAAAGAAGACCACGGCAGCCTTCTTGGGCAGCTCCGCGGAGCAGACATGTGCAGAGGAGACCGGACAGCACAATAAGCACCATGCCCTTCACTGTGGGCATGTTGAGTCACCACAGGACTTTTCAGTAACACACTGATTGTTTTTTTTTTTTTTTTTTTTTTTTTTTTTTTTTTTTTTTAAAGAGTGAGAGAGAATGAGAAAGAGGGAGAGAGAGAGAACTTTTTTTAATATTTATTTTTTAGTTTTTGGCGGACACAGCATCTTTTTTTTTTTTTTTAAAGAGAGAGTGAGAGAGGAGAGAGAGAGAGAATTTTTTTAATATTTATTTTTTAGTTCTCGGCAGACACAACATCTTTGTTGGTATGTGGTGCTGAGGATCGAACCCGGGCCGCATGCGCGCCAGACGAGCGCGCTACCGCTTGAGCCACATCCCCAGCCCCACACACTGATTGTTGACGTTTCATAAATTATAGAAATGCAAAAGGAAACACAGCTTTCTTCCATGTCTATGTAATTTTAAAGTTAGGATAACAACACATACTGCTTGGTATTCTCAAATGCCAACATTTTTCAGGTTATTAAATAATATTCCACAGCTGTGTTATCCAATACACTAGCCACTGGCCACGTGTGGTCATTTTAATATGCATGTAAATTAATTTAAAAAAAATTTTTTTAGTGTCGATGGACCTTTATTTATTTATTTATATGTGGTGCTGAGAATTGAACCCAGTGCCTCACACCTGTGAGGCAAGCGCTCTGCCACTGAGCCACAACCCCAGCCCCTAATTAAGTTTTAATAAAATTTAAAAGTCATTTTCTCATTAGCCACACTGCCAGTGCTCAACAGCCACACGTGTCCCGTGGCTCCTGGACTGGACGGTGCGGCTACCCACCATTTCCACAGTGCAGAGCGCTGCACCAGACCGTGTCCCTGTACAAGGTCGTGGCTTGTGCAGGCTGACACACGTGCCTGTTTCCGTGCATGGTGCTGGTCTCCAGCGTTTTTACTACTATAAATAATATTGCAGCTAGATACCTGTGATTCGAAAGGGAAATCTTGTTGAGGCTCCACAGCTCCTCCATGAAGGAGGAGGTGGCACGGGGGTGGCAAACTCCATGGGTCCCAGGACTGGACCAGCACTGCAGGGCCCTGTCAGGTCCTGATGTCAGGACAGACTGTTGCCCGAAAGCTCCTCAAAAAGTCAACCGCAGAGTTACCTTAGAGCCAGCACTTCCACTCCAAAGAACTTACACCCCAAAGAACTGAAGACAGGTGCTCAGCAAATACACATGTACAGATAGATGCTCACAGCAGCACTAGTCACATAGCTAAGAGGTACAACAACTGGATGTCCATCAGGAGACGAAGGGGTAAGCCAAATGTGCTCTATCCACACAACAGCATCTTATTCAGTGGTAAAAAGGAGTGACGCGCTGGCTCATGCTGAACCTAGAGGAACCTTACACACACTCTGCTAAGTGGAAGAAGCCAGCCTCCAAGGCCATATGTGGTCTGATTCCATTTATAGGAAACATCCAGAAAAGGCAACCCCATAGAGATAGAAAGTGGATTAGTGTGGGGGCTGGGGTTGTGGCTCAGGGGCAGAGCACTGGCCTAACACTGCATAAAAATAAAGAAAGATATTGTGTCCAATTACAAAAATTAATATTATTTAAATGATTAATATTTTAAAAAGAAAGAAAGTGGATTAGTGGCTGCCAGGGGCTGGAGGGGAGGTGGCAGTGGGAAGTGACTGCTAGTGTGCCAGTGGGCCTGGGGGACTAAACAGGGCCCTGGGATTGGAGGCAAGAGTTGCACTACACCGTGACTACACCAAATGCCACTGAACTCTTTGCTTTATTTATTTTTAGAGACAGGGTCTCATTAAGTTGTTGAAGCTGACCTCAAACTTGCAATTCTCCTGTCTCAGCCTCCCAAGTCTCTGGGATTACAGGCATGTGCCACCGATCCCAACCATTTTATTTATATTTAATTAATTTTTGCAGTGCTGGGGATTGAACCCAGGACCTCCCACATGATCTAGCACTGAGCTACATCCTCACACCTTTTATTTATTTTATTTAGAGCCAGGGGCTTGCTAAGTTGCCTAGGCTGGCAGCACCTTGGCCTTCCAAGTAGTTGGGATTACAGGAATGTGCCACCAAGGGACCACTATTCATTTTAAAATGGTTCATTTTAGGGCTGAGGTAGTGCTGGCGGAGGGTAGGGAGTGCTTGACTAGCATGCATGAGGTCCTGAGTTAGAGTCCCAGCACTGCAAATAATAATAATAATAATAATAATAATAAAATAGTTCATTTCATATTATGCAAGTATTGGACCAGCAAGTAGAACAAAGTTGTGCTCTTGCTGACAGTGATTCCTTCCTTTTTTTTTCTTTCTTTATTTTTTGGGGGTGGGGTGGAGCACTGAGTCAGACCCTAGATAGGGCTAGAGAAAGAACAAGGAGAGAAGCAGTGCCTGCCATCACCAGAAGAGAGGAGGAGGGGGCTGAAGATACACTCAGTTGGTAGAGTACTTGCCTCGCATGCACAAGGCCCTGGGTTCAATCCCCAGCACCACATACAAAAGAGAAGCGGGGAGGAAAGTGTCTAGAGAAGGATGTGTGCGGCTGGAGCTCTGCAGACCCTGCCTGAGCGCGGTGCACACGGGTATGTATACAATGGAGGCCTTTAGGGAGCTCAAGGTTGCGTTTTACTTGATCTCTGCAGCACGGTGCCTGGGGCAGGTACACGTGGCCTTTACCATCCCTGGCGTGGTACTCACGGGCCGGTCATCATCTCCACTGGCCGGTCACAGGAGATGCACTTCACCCGCTCAAACAGTTTCCTGAAAGGTAGGTGGTCGGGCATCAGGGGTGGCCAGGTGCCCCCACTCCCGCCCCAGCACTGTCTGTGTCCTGGTCTGAGGCTGAACGTGCTGTGCCTCCCGCCCATCCAACCCTCTTCCGCTGCGAGCTGAGGGCTGCAGCCCCCTCTGACACTGGGGCCCTCTGTGGGACTGTCTGGGTGGACGGTCAGGATGCCTGGCCTAGACCCCAGATCTGCCCCGGCCCCCCGTGGTGCACATAGTCCCTTCCCTCTCTGAGCCTCAGTATCCTCGTTTGCAGCCAGGGGCAGCAGAGCTGCCCACTCGGGTCCCAGCCCCGACCCTGTGCCCATGGTCTGGAATCCAGGGGTGCCCGAGGCTGGCAGCGCAGCCCTCCCGCCGCTCGCCTCCTGAAGCCCGCGGCGCTGTCGGGGTCGTAGAGCAGGCCCTCCAGCAGCAGCTTCTTGACCACTTCCCAGACCTCCTCCAGGCCCTTCTTCAGAAGGTCCAGGTCACTGTGCACCAGCTGCCAGCCCAGGGGAGAAAAGACAGATGTCAATCAGCCACACCCAGCTCCCTCGGAAAGGGATCTGCGGCAACCTGCAAACCTCCATAATGAGAATGAGTAGAAGGGGAAGACCATTCGGCTCGGGCTAAAGCCCACAGCCCTCACGGGTGCCATTGGTAGAGGGGAGCTGCAAAGTGAGCTTCCCAGAGGCCAAGGCAAAAACACCACCAGCTACCACCTCCAAACCTACTGCACAACTGCCCATCCTCCCCATGGTCCACAGGCATCTGACCTTCACATAGTCCTCACATATTTACTAAGGGTCTGACTGTGAAGTGGCTAATTCAGCCACTTTTAGTATACTCACAAAGCACCATCACCATCAATTTTTGAATGTTTGCATCATTCCCCAAAGAAGCCCACTATTTCCTCCAAAGCCCAGGCCCTGGCAACCACTAACCTACTTTCTGCATTTATTGGATTTGCCCATTCTGGACACCTCACAAAAATATCATACAATAGTTGGCCTTTGGCCACTAGCCTCTTTCCTTTGGCAAACTATTTCAAGATTCACCCATGTTGCAGCGTGCATCAGAATTTCATTCCTTTTTTTTATGGGTGAATAATATTCTACTGTACTACATTCATACTACATGATATGAAGCATGGAACAGCATGATCAAATATCATTCCATCATATGGATATACTTTTTAACATTTTTTTCGTTGTAGTTAGACATTTATTTATTTATTTTTATGTGGTACTGAGGATCAAACCCAGTGCCTCGCACATGCTAGACAAGTGCTCTACCACTGAGCCACAACCCCAGCCCCTGGACATACTTTAAAAACTTTTTTTAGTTGTAGATATACATAATGCTTTTGTTTTATTTTTATTTATTTTTATGTGGTGCTGAGGATTGCACCCAGTGCTTTACATGTACCAGGCAAGTGTTCTACCACTGAGCTACAACCCAGAGGTGCTTAACCACTAAGCCACATCCCAAGCCCTTTTTATTTTTATTTTTTAAAACAAGGTCTCACCGAGTTGCTGAGGCTGGCCTGGAAGTTTCGATCCTCCTGCCTCAGCCTCCCAAGTCTCTGGGATTACGGGCGTACACCACAATGTCCAGCACTGGATATACTACATTTTGTTAATTAATTCCTCTGTTGATAGACATTGGGTGTTTTCCACCTTTGGGCTATTATAACTAATGCTCCTTTGAAGATTCACACGTAAACTTTCGTGTGGACATAGTTTCATTTTTCTTGGGATGAAGTTCTGACCCATGCCATGACATGAATGCGCTTCAAAGACATGGTGCTAAACTAAAGAATTCAGACCCAAGAGTGCGCATACTGTGTGGTTCCCTTCACGACAAACATCCAGAACAGGTGTGTGCACGCGGGGGCCAGGGTGGGAAGAAGGGAGTGACTGCTGAAGACGCTGGGTCTCCTTTTGGAAAGATGCGAATGTCTTAGAACCAGACTGAGGTGAGAGCAGCCATTGCCTGGTTCCCTGCAGAATGGTTGATTTTATGTTCTGTGACTTTCACCACAATTAAAAATACAGAAAGGAGCCGGGCACAGTGGCACACGCCTGTCATCCCAGCTATTCAGAGGCGGAGGCAGAAGGATTCCAAGGTTGAGGCCAGCCTGGGTAACTTAGCTAGATCTTGCCTGAAATTTAAAAAAAATAATAATAAAATAAAAAGGGTTGGGCCCAGCAGTTCAGGAGGCTGAGGCAGGAGGAACACAAGTTCAAAGCCAGCCTCATCAGCTTAGCAAGACCCTAAACAACTTAGTGAAACCCTCTCTCAAAAAATAAAAGGGCTGGGGGGCTGGCGTTGTGGCTCAGGGGTAGAGTGCTTACCTAACATGCATGGGCGCTGGGTTTGATCCTCAGCACCACATTAAAAATAAATAAATAAATAAATAGTTAAAAACTAAAATAAAAGGGCTAGGGATGTGGCTCAGTGGTAGAGCACTCTGGGGTTCAGTCCCTGGTGCCCCCTGGAAATAATACAGAAATGAAAGCAATGAGTATGGAGTCACTTAAAATAGCAACCACACAAAAAGCTCCTCATCTGGAAAATCTCAGAAAAAAGCAGAAAGACTAGAATAATTAATTACCCACCACATATCCATCACCTAGATTTAGTAGTTATTAACATGTTGCTAGATTTGCCTTATTCTTATTTGTTCCTGAGGATTGAACCCAGGGACACTAACACTGAGCAAAATCCCCAGCCCTTTCATTTTGTATTTTTAAAATAACTAGTTTGTTTGTTTGTTTGCTTATAGTTGAAGATGAACAGCATGTCTTTATTTTATTTTTATGCAGTGCTAAGGATTGAACCCAGGGCCTCATACATGCTAGGCAAATGCTCTGCCATTGAGCTACAGCCTCAACCCCATTATTTTGTATTTTTGAATCAGGGTCGCTAACACTAAGTGGCTGAGGCTGGCCTCTGCCTTGTGATCTTCCTGTTTCAGCCTCCTGGAGGCCTAGGATTACAGACATATGCCACTGTGCCCAGCTTGCCTTATTTTTTTTTTTGATACATTATTTATTTAGTTAGTTTTTTGGGGGTACCAGGGATTGAACTGAAGGGTTCTCAACCACTGAGCCACATCCCCTGCCCTATTTTGTATTTTATTTAGAGACAGGGTCTCACTGAATTGCTTTAGTGCCTCACTGTTGCTGAGGCTGGCTTTGAACTCACAATCCTCCTGCCTCAGCCTCCTAAGCTGCTAGGATTACAGGCATGCGCCACCGTGCCTGGTTTATCATTATTATTATTTTTTTGAGTACAGAAATCATGACATTTCACTCATGAATATCTGAGTGTTTCTAAAAGATGGGGATGCTTTCATTCATAATCATAATTCCATGATCACATCTAATATAATTAGTGAGAATTCCCAACTTGGGTCACATTTGAAGACCAGGTTTAGAACTGGCTCAATTGGACCAGGAGAAAAGTAACACTGTTCCCTGTGTTGCGTCTGATCATCTGGGCTGCTGTGATATTAACCTAGGACAATCTCTGTTCTGTACCCTCTTCCTAACCCCTGGCATTGAGCCACGCAGCCTCACACTGTCAGTCTGTCTGTTCTGGCCTCTCTCTGGGTGTGCACAAGGGGCAGCAGGGCTGTGATTCCTCATGGACATTTTCTGGGTCTGGCACCTCAGATGAATCAATCAAGGACCAGCATGGTTCCCTGTAGGCCCCCTCAGACCCTGCCTTTTCGGGGGTCCTGCCAGGAGAACAATGGTGGTCAGCCTGCAAGATGCTGCCCAGCTGTACCATGTGGAATTCACACCACCAAGTAGTCCCCTCTCGTTGAACAGGGACCAGTAACCAACAGGATATCACGGAAGTGAGGGAGGGTGCTTCCAGGGTGCAGTCACACAAGACTGTGCAGATTCTTGCTTGTTTCCTTGGGTCACTTGTTTGGGAGGATGTCAGGAGCCATGTTATGAGGCCACTCAAGTGGCTCTGAGGAGGAGGTCTTGTGATAAAGAACTGAAGATTCTTTTTAAAATTAATTAACTAATTTGTGGTCCTGGAGATTGAACCCAGGGGTACTCTACCTCTCTACATTCTCAGCTCTTTTTATTTCTTTTTGAGACTCAATAAATTACCTAAATAAGTTTGAGGCTGGCCTCAAACTTGTGATCCTCCTGCCTTAGCCTCTTGAGTAGCTGGGATTACAGGCCTGGACCACTGTGCCTGGCAGTAAGATTCTTGCCAACAGCCATGTGAGAGTCTTTGAAATGGCTCCTTTCAGCTCCTTCAGATGCAGCCCTGGACAACACCTTACCTGTGACATTGTGAGAGATCCTGGGCCACCCAGCTAAACTGCTCCCCAATTCCTGCTCCTCACAGCTATGAGCCTTTGCTGTGGAAGCCGTAAAGTCCTGGAGTAATCCGCTCCGCAGCAGGGGACAGCGAGGCCAGGAGCTCACCTTGGTGCTCAGTTCCTTCTTGAGCTGCTCCACAGCGTTCTTCCAGTGGTCATTCTGGGTCGTGAGCTTGAACAAGATGCTCTGAAACGTCTCGTGCAGCTCGGTCACCACCGTCTCCAGGTCTGCGCGGTTCGCCTTGCTCGCCAGGGCGCTCTTGTCAGCTTTCTAGGGAGAGAGGGGGCGCAGGGGACAGGGCTACTGGGGGGGGGGACTGGGAGACCTCAGCCCTCTGGGGCCTGGACTCTGGGGCCTGGACGTCCAGCCCTTGGGATCTATGTTGGGATCCTCCTCGGGATCTAAGAGGCAAGCCAAGGTTTCCCTGCGACAGGGAAGTTGGTGCCTGGTTTGTAAGTTTACGTGGCAGTGTCCCGGGGTGGTGAGGACGACTTGTGAGAAGCCTCCCCGCCTGCCCGTAGGAACCAAGGCAGAGGATTCTGGAAGGTTCTGCCTGGGTGGCTCCTCTTCCCTGGTGGGGAGCCTCTGGCCACTCACTTCTCGAAGCTCCTCCTCCAGCGAGCTCTTATTCGCCTTGGTCTGCTCCAGGTTTCTGATTTGAGCCTGGAGATTCTAAGCACAGAAGCGCAGGCTGTCAGCCACCTTTGCAGCCTGAGGACGTCCGCCTCGTGCCTCCACCCCTGCCACGCGCTAAGAGGGGACAACAGGGTGGGTGGACGGCAGGCAGGTGGGCACGTTAGAAGGCGTGGCCTCGGGGCTCCCAGTGCCTGTGGGACTCAGAATCGCGGCCCCCTGGGAGGAGGCCCACCCAAGGGAGCACAACCCAGGGTGACGGCTGGTCCCCCTCATCTGGTCTGCAACGGTGTCTCAGTGGGGATCCCCATCTATCTGTGGCACACACTGTGCCCAAGTGCTGGGGGAACCTGTCCTCACCCCGTGACACCACGAAGCAGCTACTCCCCCGTGAGAGGAACAAAGCTAACCATCTTGGGAATCGCCTTCCCTGTCCCCAGAGGCTGGGTCGTTTTTCCTCAAAGCCGTGAAGGCTTCTTCTACTTTGTCCTTCGTGTCTTGTCTGGCTCTCACCCTGAGGAACAGAACTCCCAACTTTCAGGTGGGATTCAGCTTCTCAGAACCGAGACCACTTTCTCACAGCCTTCCTTACGGATCGGTCTGGCCACGGGGTAAATGGAAGTGGGTGGGTGTCTTTAACTCTCTGAATTCTGTGTCCTCTCTGTGGCTGGCTTGGGTGTTAATGACTGGAATCTCAGCAGCCATTTTGGGTCATAAGGTGACTTTTATGAATGGAAGTCACAGAGGAGAAGAAGAAAAATGGAACTTAGATCTCCAACACTGTGGAGCACCCGCCCTCCCTGGATTGACCATCTGGATTTCTTGAACACAAAAGAGAAATACACTTAGACCTCATTTGTCGAAGTCAAACTTAATTCTAATTAACGCACAGCTCCATCACATCCACCTGGCCCCCAGGAGGGCTTCGGAGGTCTAAGCAAGAAGAGGAAGCGTGGGCGGGAGCCCCTGCTTTGACCTCCAGCCCAGCTGACCAAGGCTGGTCTTTTGGGCTTATCAAGTCCAGTGCCAGGGCTTGGCTTCTTGGCTCGGGATGCATACTTAACTACTGTAGTTAAAAATCTAGAAGTAGGGGCTGGGGATGTGGCTCAAGCGCTAGCGCGCTCGCCTGGCATGCGTGCGGCCCGGGTTCGATCCTCAGCACCACATACCAACAAAGATGTTGAGTCCACCGATAACTATAAAATAAATATTAAAATTCTCTCTCTCTCTCCCTCTCTCACTCTTTCTTTAAAAAAAATATAAAGCACTAATCTATTAAAAAAATAATCTAGAAATAGGTGATTAGGTGGGACTCTAACTGCCAGGGACACCTGTGACTTGGGTTGAATAACAGCTCCCCAAAAATTCATGACCTCCCCAAAAAACTCAGATGTAGTTAGTGTAAGTTCACAGTGGAGTAGGATGAGCCCCAAATCCAATAACTGACGTCCCTTAAGAAGGCCACAGGAAGACACCCAGAAGCACAGGAAGAGCCACGTGCCCAGAGAGACGTGGTCTCAGAGTGATGCCCTGACAGGCCACCCGAAGCCAGGAGGGGCAAGGAGGGGTGTTCCCAGAGCCTTGGAGGAATGAGGCCTCACCAGGACCTTGATTTCGGATTTCTAGCTCCACCCTGGGAGCAAATAGATGTTTACTGTTTTCAGACGCCCAGTTTGATTTGTCACAGCAGCAATAGGAAACTGATAGGCCCAGTCAGTGGCAGAATCAGGGCCCAACCCAAAGCTGCTCTGCGAGCCAGAGGAGCGGGCTGCCTCCCGCTGGGTGAGCTGGGCTGTTTGCTGTCCTTTGCCTGCGTCTGGGTCTCTGATCCTCCTCCTCCTTTCCTTGCGCTCTCTTTCTTCTTCCAGGACTGGGGTTTGAACTCAGGGTGCTCCAGTACTGAGCCACATCTTCAGCCCTTTTTATTTCTTTATTTTGAGACATAGTCTCACGAAGTCACCCACGTTGACCTCGAACCAGTGACCTCCTGCTTCAGCTTCCCAAGGCACTGGGACTACAGGCTGCGCCACCGCACAGGGTTTCTTCTCTAATGATGCTGGAGAACAGCACCGAGTGCCATCCGACCCGTGGGGACACCTGGGGCTGGTGAGCGGCTCCCAACAGTCAGCTTCCTGTGGTCAGCAGGGCCTGGGAGCCGGGGCAGGGGCGAGGCTGAAGACTTTGGTCAAGTCTGCAGTGTGGCAGGAGGACTTGCAGTTTTCGAGTTGATGACTTTATTTATTTATTTTTGGTACTGGAGATTGGACCCGTGGAGCTACGTTCCCCGTCAGTGGGAAATCTTTGAGACCAGGTCTTGAGAAGTTGCCCAGGTTGTCACCTCTCCTGCCTTGGCCTCCAGAGCTGCTGGGATTCCAGGGTGCGCCACCGTGTCCGACTCAAGCTTTTATGGTCACAGGCTGTGTCGGTGACTGCCTACTGGTTGTCTAGTTTCATGGACGAGACTGGGTCAGCATGATCCTCCAAGAGCCCACACAACAGAAGGCAGCAGACTGGGCCCACGGCATTCAGTGAGATGAGTCAGGGACAAGTCTCTGGTCTTCATTTTTGCCCAGGGAAATGTGCCCCCTGGGGCGGATGAGCGCAAAATGGACACAGCTCACCCCCATTCTGTGCCCAGAGGGTACCCAAAGCCCTCCTCAAGGCCTTGGGGAATCCTGGGGGTTCTAGGGTCACCCGTGTCCTGGCTTCCACTTCTGCCTTTGTGGGTCCTCCTTCTCTCTGTCCTGACCCTGACCCACCCAGAGACGGACCCCTTCTCCACGACCCCTCACCCAAACCAAACACGAATTCAGGCCCGGATGGAGGCCACCTGTTCCCTCTGAGCAAAAGCCGGAAAGTCGTTACTGGACGTTCCCACCCTTAAGTCTGCTGAGTCCACGGTGCTCCTCGGGATCCCGTGGCTTCTCCACAGGTCTGGCTCCCTGTCTTCTCTACCCTGCCTCCCGGGAGCGGGAAGAGTGCTCTCACCCTCTCAGGAGATGGGCAGACCCCTCACACGAGATGCCAGGCGCGATCCCCATGCCACAAAAGGCACAGACTTCAAGGCCAGCCTCAGCAACTTAATGAGAACTCATCCCAAAATAATAAAGAATAATGAAATAATATTCCATACCCACAAGAATCTCTGAAATTAAAAAAGATCAACAATATTCAATGTTGAGGAGGATGTGCACAATTGTGGGGAGTGAAAAGAGGCATGCTACCTTGGAAATGGTTTGACAGGTCTTTTTCTCTCTTTTCTTTTTTTGATTGCAGCACTGAGGAGTGGACCTGTGGGTGCTCTACCACTGAGCTATACCCCCAGCACTTTTTATTTTGACACAGGGTCTCACTAAGTTGTTGAGGCTGGCCTTGAACTTGCTTGCAATCCTCTTGCCTCAGTCTCCCAAGTCACTGGGACCCCTGTGGTTTACAAGGGTCTTCCCCCCATAAAGACAACCTCTCCAGGCACTCCAGTGGAGCACAGTCACACATAAGCACACACGGTATGGTCCCATTTATGTGAAGTCCAAAAGCAGGCAAAACTAACCTAGGGCGATGGAAGACAGAGCAGTGGCTACCTCTGGACCATGGGTGTTGCCCTGGGAAAGGGAACTTTCTCAGACCATGGAGCTGTCTCCATTTTGACTGGACTGTGATCAGATAAGAATGACCTCAGCTCTCAAGATTTAGGCATGTAAATCACGCTGCAGTTGAAAACGAATCCTGCTACCACCCCAGGCACAAACAGGAGGGACAGGCCAGCGTCTGTGGTGTTGGCAGCTGTGTCCCAGCCCCTAGAGCATGCCCAGTGCACAGAGAACACTCAGTAACATTTGCAGAGCAAAGATAAATGACTAGGAGCGTTAGGTGGGAGTTAGTTAGGAGTTTAAGAAAGTAGCATGGAGCATACCAGTTATGACCAGCCCTGCCTCAGTGGGGCCTCAAGGTCGCACAAAGCAGCTGTGCCAAGACCCCTGCCTGATCTCAGCCAGATAATCAGCTCCTCCAACAACAGGTAGAAAATGGTAAGTTCCGGAGAGGACCAAGGTATGTTTGCCTGGACAGCCTAATTGCCAAGACTCCTTAAGCAAGACACTATGCAAAAGACCAGAGATCCCCGGACCTAGGAGAGCAGAATGAACAAGACCAGAGCCCACCGGCCCCGTAACTTCTAGTTATAAAGCCATTTTCAATTAGGACCTGCCAGCGAGGCCAAGACGGCAAGGGCTGCCCTCAGGTTGCTAGCCAGGGTAGCCTGTAAATCCAGAGCCAAGGGGACACTTGGTGGGGATCTTCCAACAGTCTCCCTCTTTCCCCAATTGTTTTCATCAGCTTTTCCGCTGCCGTGATCAAAAGACCTGACAAGACCAAACAGAGGAGGAAAAGTCGGTCTGGAGCTCACGGTTTCCGAGGTCTCACTCTATAGATGGCCACTTCCACTCCCTGTGGCTCCAGTGAGGCGGAACATTCCGGGGGCAGAGTGTGGTGGAGGAAAGGGGCCCAGGACACCACATCAGAAAGCAGAAAGAGAGTGCTCCCCCCACAGATAAAATATAAACCCAAGGCCGTGCCCCAGTGACCAGCTCCTGTAGCCGCGCCTTGGCTGCCTGGAGTCACCACCCAGTTAACCACCCTCGGGAGATCCACACCCTGTGAGGTCCAAGCTCTTATCACGTGAACCCTCTGGCACCGTCTCACAGGAGAGATTCTGGGGCACAGTTCCCATCTGAAGAACCATAACCAATAAAAGCCGGGACACAAAGATGAGAGCTGGCCCCACTCTGGGAGGACCCGCTATCTCCTTGAGGGTGCTCCCCTCCGCTAACAAACACTGCTCTGCTCTCACCAAGCCTGGCATCTTGCCTGAAAGCACCTCAGGTGACCCAAGAGGCCAGCACACAAAGCAGTGTCTGCTAAGACCTCCTCACAGTAGGATCCGAGTTTCTCAAGACCCCCGTCGTGTCCACCACGTTTCTGCAGACGCAGGGGAAGGCAGGGTCGAGCATGAGCACGGCCTCCCTCGGTCTCTGCGGGAGGCCGGACTGATGCCCTGCAGCCTGTGCTCAACACCCCGTGAATGAACACAGGCTGCAGGAGTTAGGTGCTGGGTGAAAGTCAGGTTTCACGTTCCTCCCAGGTGACTTTTATGGGCAATCGTATCCTGATGGCATGAGAGCAGGAAGGAGGACAGGACAGGGCCCTGTGTGCTCCGCCTTGTGCCGTTTGGTGGGCCTCAGCTGGCTGCTTCTTCCCTGAGTGACAGCTACTACACCCCCCTTCCTCCTATGCAGGGCCTGGCCTGGAGCTGAGGTCAGTCCGCTCTAGTCCACAGAGGAGGGGCCCCACGACATGGTGACCCAGGCCTCGCTGAAGATCAGAGGCTGACAGAGAGCCCCGAGTTGGCAGAGGACCACGTGGCTCCTGGTCAGTGCTGCTCACAAAGGCCCAAGCACGCAGCCCTGCAAATCCTCCATCCACACACAGACCCTCCGAAGACAGCGAGCTCTCCCTTCCAGCCCCTGCCTTAGGCAATGCGTCAGTCCCTTTGCAATGACTTCTCCTCCCTGCAGAGGCCCCTACGTGCCCCAACGGGTGACACAGTAATGACATGGAGAGTGATCACAGTGCCAGGGTTTGCTTTGGCCCCCTCCCTTGTCTTTAAGTTCTATCAAAAGCCCTCAGACCTGTACTTAGAAGTCCCCATGGGGCCAGTCACGATGACATACACCTGTAATCCCAGTGACTCAGGAGGCTGAGGCAGGAGGATCTCAAGTTGAGGCCAGCCTGGCAACTTGGCAACCCTGCTGTTCCAGAAAGGCTGCAGTGCTGAGAGCTCAGAGAAGCTTGTTCCCCCAAAGTGGGCTGATTTAGGGCAAATGCCATGAGTATAACTGTTGGGGCAAGAAATTCTCATCCTGCTGACTCATTCAGCAAATGTCACAGAGCCCTCACTCTGTTGATACAGAGGCCACAGATGGGCACTGATCAGGGCCTTCTGTGTATGTGTGTGGGATTTATTCTTAATTAAAGTGTAAGTTACACACAGTAAAATGTCCCCTGGCTCCCCAGCCTTCAGTGCACCCCCTTCTGAAAAACCACAGGGAGGAGCTCTCCCCTGGCCTGCCCCTCGGGGACCCCAGGCCTCCAAACCTTGAACTCATCCACACGAGCCTGGAGCTTTCCCACCAAGCGGTCCAGCACAACGTAGTGATTCTTCATGGACTCTATTTGGGTGCCCCAAACTCTCTCAAGTTCCTCTTCCTAAACAAGGGAGACACAGACAGCTTGTGAGGCTGCCGTGGCTGGAAGAGGCCTGAGGCAAGGAAGAAGGTGCCTGACCTGAGCGTTCTGGACAGTGTGACAGTGTGGAACAGCCGCCTGGGACTCCTTGGAAGGGATCTGCAGCCACCCGCCCTGGACCCTCCCTGGACCCGCCCTAGCCGCATCCTTGGCCCTGCTGCGCTCCCAGGCCACCTGGCAGCTGGCGGGCAGATGCTCCACCCAGGAGGGGTACGGGGGCAGTCCACCTCCTGCTTGCCTCCAGCTCTCACTGTCTCAAAAGCTCCTCCCTGAGAGGGACACTGACCTTCAGCCTGGACTTCTGGATGTTATTTATCTTGTCCTGCAGTATGTCCACGGCCGCCTCAAGCTTGGAAAAGCCTCCTGCGTGCACTGAAAGCAAAAGAGGGAGTGACTGTGGGGCAGGGAGGGAGCTCCAACCACCTGCTCTTCCCAGGCCCCTACGGCAGGGCTGCCCACAAAAATGTGCCCAGACAGGGCCTCGAGGGTCCACTGGGTCTTCCACAGTCACACTGTTATGCGTGTGTGCATGCACCAGTGTGTGGTGCTGGGGACTGAACCAAGGCTACTCTGCCCCAGAGCTACAGCTCCAGCATCTTTTTTTTTTTTTTTTGGACAGGGTTTTGCAAAGTTGCTGAGGCTGCCTGGAACTCGCGATCCCTCCTGTATCAGTCTTCTTCTGAGACACTGGGGTTTATAGGTGTGTGCCACTATACCTGGCTAATAGACACATTTTTAAAAACTCTAAAAAGAACAGGTGGGATTACTTTTAATAAAGTGTTTTATCTAACCTATATATCCCAATAAGCTCTTTTAAATATGTAATTCAATTTTCCTGGGAAAGTACTGAGGATTGCACAAGGGCTTGCACTTGCTTAGGATACACTACCACTGAGCTATACCCTCAATACTATGAAGTACTTCAAAACCATGAAGCCTTTATTTTTTTTGCATTGCTGGGGATGGAGTCCAGTGCCTTGTGTGTGCTAGGCCAGTGCTAGACCATAGTCCCAGCCCTGATATTTATGAGAGTCTATGAGATGTATTATACCAAGATTAATAGAAAGGGAGATAGTGAAATTTTTACCAAATGGCCTACATGCAGTATGGACAAGCAGCCAGAGAGGCCAGATCCATGGAAAAAACAGGAGCAGGACACGGCAGCTGGCCAGGAGGAGAGCTTGGGCTGTTACTACTTGTTTACCACCCTCCTAATCTCAGCCATCCTAGTGTTGACAGATATCAATAGGGTTCTTTTTAGCTACATGAAGTTCCACTTTTCCCCTAAGGTCTGTGGAAGAGCAGTGCCCACCAGAGGTGCCAGACAGGGACGTGACTTTGGTGATCGCAGTCACTGCACGTCTCAGTGTGCAGAGCCAGGGATCTAAGTGGGCTCCCAGCAGCAGCAGCATCCACTGGGAACATAGCAGAAGTGCCACACTCTCAGTCTGGGATCTGGCTCAGTGTCAGAGTGCTTGCCCAGCAGGAGTGAGGCCCTGGGTCCCACTGCTGGTACCACTCC